ATTGAATGCAAATCTGGCCTTTACAATGACTGGCGGTGGCCTACCGATATATCGAGCCAGTACTGCTTTCCTCCCAAACAACTCTGGTGCCAATTTGCCGACCCCAGAGAGATAGAAGGCTTGGTGGGCCATAGGCGAGGGGATCGATTGCACGTGTGTGTCGCAGTGGCGCCTCTAACCACTTCGCCACACCCACCTTATATATATATATATATATATATATATATATGCCGTGTGGTTGTCTTTGTATGTATAATCCATCCGATCCAGCGTTCTGAAGCTTTAAAATCGTTTTGCGCATGCAGCAATGTGCCAATATGCATCATGATTCGAAGAGGAGAGAAATAAATCCTAAACATGTTGTGTTTACTCGAAAAGGTTTTGCGTTAATCAAATTAGAGTTATTGAAGAGGAAACATATTCGTAATGGTTATTGCTGAAAACAGAACAATACATACGTTTACTGTAATTTTTTCTCGAATTTTGAATATTGCAGCTTACACCAGCTGCTAGTAAAGTGGCCCGCAGTAAGAGCTGCACAAAAATTTTATAGGCGAGATATTTTACATTAATGCCTATTTGTCGCTATATGGATGTGCAAAAATAAAATTGAAAATGGGAAGTGGCGTGAAGGATTATCATTTTACTACTGTGTTTTATGAAATTCTTCAAATATTTAGGTGTCGAATAACACTGCTGGAACTCTGCGTCTGGAAGCTATAAACAGTAAAACATCAAAAATATCGCGAAGTAGCCCGGCACTTCTTTCTCAGCCTTCCACCAATAAAAAGGCATCTGTTGGTTCGTCATCTGTCGATAGTGTCGTTGTAAGTTAAATACCGAATATACCTAAATTGAATTCAATTGATGTTGTGCTTGTTTCAAGTCAGTGTGTATTTTTGTTTTCTGTGATCTAACTGCCATGTATAGTTTATTGGTGATGAGTGCGTTAATTTTACATGTAATGTATCGCTCAGTGAATGCTTGAGGTGTTCGCGGTTGCGGCGTGAGTCCTTGTCTCACCTTCATAGTAGCTATACTAATGAGGCTAAAGTGTCGAAAAATAGTTCTGGAGGCGTGCCCATGCTTACGTTACTCATTGAATTTGTTGTCCATCATCATGTTGTATCTAGTGCTCTTGATATGATCCCCATGATATAATAGGACGTCGATATAGCGATCATGAACTTGCTCTTATTTCATGTATTTGAAGCTTTTCGTCCACTCCGTTGAGACCTTCTAACCCTATTCTATGTATTAGTTGGTCACTGTAATAGTCAGTCCTCGGCAACGAATAGCCACTAGCTCGAAGTACAATGTTCGACCTTGTAAGAATTTACCACACAGGACTTCTTGATGTTGCCACAGGGCACAATCTCAAGCTTTGGTTATAACCGTTTATAGAAAGAATAACAGTACAATATTAACAATGTGACGATGTCTAGAAAGATGAAGGATGCAAAAGCCAGTATCAAGGACTGTAAGAGACCTAGTAGAGAAAACTCATAGAGCTTTGGAAAGGACTGGCTGACTTAAATTAACTGATGAAGTTGCTTATATTCGAGCTATAATAGGTGCAATTTAGCTAGAGTAGTTGAAGAAACAGTTTGTAGAGGAGGTGAATTAAGTTTGTTCTTTGAAGACGAGTATGCATGAAGTGCAAGGCAAGTGCACGTTCAATTGGGAAAATGACTAAGCAGGGCAGGGCTAAATATATTTATCAGTAAATATATATGTGTATCATAATGTAGATTTATGATTAGTTGCACGATTAATTAAATATATAAATAATTATTAAGTTGACAGGTCTTCTGATGGTCTGTTTGTTTGCTTGTCTGACCTGTACCTCTCTGGTTGTTCCATTTTCTGATTGTTGCAATTTGTTTATGCGACCCATTTTGCATGTATTATGAGGTTGGATTGATTCGTAAATTAAAACCACAGGGCCCATAGTCAGAATTCGTGGTGTGCCTCTTTTGATGTCGTTCTGGAGCTCATGTGATTCACGAAGATTCTTCAAAAAATGTACTAGTTGGTGCAGTGGAATATAGGTCCTCGAGTAATCCATCGGTACCGAATAACCACTACATTTAAGGAGAATGCTCGATCTTGTGCGATTTTGCCACGCGGAGTTTTTTGTCATTTCCACAGAGTAAAACCTTAAGCGTGAATTACAACCGTTTATAGCTATAATAGCAATCCGAAAGGGTAAGGAATACATGTGCCAAGACAAAAATGGAGATTATACGAGAACTAGCTGAGCGGACTAACTAGGCGAACCGAACGAAAGCAACTAGGGTGGCTCATAACGCTCCTTATATTCCAGAGTTATAACCAGAGTTACTGCTCAAAGGAAGATTCTAGGAAGTTTATCGGTTACTACAATGTGATAGAACTGCTTGCATAGAAAGTTCTTGAAGACTACAATAACTTTTTTGATACTTGAACGGCCCATCCTCACTGATTGTGCCGGCCTCAGCATAATCACCATTTTTTGGAGAATGACTGGCCAAGCTATTGTGGTTCCCTGGAATCCCGAGGTCAGTCTGGCCAAAATCTGCCTCAGGTCCTTACCACTTCAGGCACTCGCTGCCTTTGTCGATCAGAGAAAGATTTGCCACTATGCGACAAGCTTGATACCAGAACAGTGGTGGATCCTGGTATTGGTTTACTCTTAGCTAGGCTTCCTGATGGAAACTCCCGACTCCTCAGCTTGGGAGACCCTGCTGCGGAGACGAATCTCCCCGCTGTACATCGCAGCCCGATACCCATGAACACCTCCCAGCCACGATGAGGCGGTAAAGCGTTGGACGAGACTACAATAACTTATGCAGAAAATACATGTGACACTGTGACACTGATGCAGTAACTTATATAAAAGGTTAATTGGAACGGTAGATTCTGGGTATTGGATGCAGCTGAGTGCTTCTCATTAAGTACCAGAACTGTCGGCCAAAAAAGAGCATTTAGAAAAAAGGTGATTTCCTTTTCGGACAGCTGCGAAGCAGGTGCCTAATATTATGGCCAAGCAGGAATTTGCGAAGAGTACAGAGATAAATATAGTTATGGGAAACATACGATAATTTAGGGAATAGGAACTATTCGAGAAATAGTTACTATGGCTTTACCATACTTAGTTGGCCAATGAGATAAAGTACATCGATCGTTCACGCCGGGGTTAAATGAAAGTCGGTTCATAACGATAATAGTCACTATACTCTATGTTTTGAATAAGTGAAAAGCTTTTACAACAGCAGAAATTAAATCAGTTTCTTCATCAATGTATGTCTTTGTTCGTCTCAATGCAGTGAACAGGTTGTCTGCTATTGGAAAATGCTGAAATGTACGCTAGATTTGTCTCGTGAAGCGCAACTACGTGTTCTTCGAACATCGCTTGAAGGATGTCTGTTTTGTTCTATAAAGGTTTCGTTGTAGTCAAAGAAGATCGGAATAGAGGTCGAAGGGTACATTAAGTTTCTCTGGTTATAGCTACTGTCTTGATGCAGTTCATGTAACAGATTCCCATCTGCTAATGCTTTCCCAACGATATTGCATGTATTGCAGTGCGCCTCTAATCATTACTCCACACGTAGTTGTGTATAATTACGGGACGAAACTGAACGGTGGTTGTCGAAGGTTCCCTCGATTAACTCGCTTTGATGGAATTCTATTTGGTCATTTGCTGCTTTGCGATACTTTTCATTTGAAATCATACGATCATGACAGTCGCGAAAAGTGCGAAATCTGTGGCTTTCAGCTAAAAGATAATCAGCCATTATATTCTTAGGAATTACGGCTGTGCAGCTTTTCAGGAAGAATTTCAGTTGTTTTTTCAACAGCAAGCTTATCAATGTTTCAAAGTAGATGGTAAGAAAGTAAAAATTCAGAAGAGAACTGAGATGGAAGACCATTGACGTTGACTAGCAGCCTCACGAGATTATTCGCATTTGCATCAAATCTCAGGGTTCTTCACTTTTTGTGCAAATAGTTCTCAATGATGGAAATTACTTTAAATTTCCTGGTTGGAAGAGCGAGTGTCGTTTGGTACGGGTTGCTTTGATACCTTCCTTAATGATAAGCGTATTTTTTAGGAATAGATTATAACTCGCACTACAAAAACAACAGGCGGTAATTTTAGAAGTCCTTTATTTAATGGTCTTTTGTGTGCTATTATTCAAGTGGCCAACAAAACGTACTTGTTGTGTGGTACTTCTTCCACCCGATAAATGAACACGTCTTTGTTGGTATGAATGGCTATGAGTTGACGAACATTTAATGTTTTGATGAAAATATTAAAGATGCATGGTCGGTAATCGATTTTATAGGATCCAGCATGTCTCGAAATCATTGTCGAAAGTTACTGCTTAACATTATCGACGTCATCAATGTTTAGTAATAGTATTTGCTCCCAAAAAGTGGTAAGGATCCTATACTGAGTAGGTATGACAAGACTAAAGGATAGACGATAAAGCTTTCTCTGTTGATCAATCTCTGAGGGATGCGCCATGCATTCGACTTCATTCAGCATCATTAGGAGGTGATTGAATGCATATCTGGCCTTCACAATGACTCGCTGTGGCCTACCGATGTATCAAGCCAGTGCTGCTGACCTCCGAGACAAGTCTGGTACCAATTTCCCGATCTGGTAGGAATGGGAAGCTTGGTGAGGCTGGGGTGCGGGGGTCGATCCTATGTGTATAACAGGGCGCCTCTGATCAATGCGCCACACGAGCCCAGACTAACCAGATAACAAATGTTGTGAAGGTGGCTTGTTTAGTTAGGATTTCTATTTCTCCGAAGAACCTATAAAAAAACCTATATTCATTCTTATCACTGTGTTTCGAATTTGAGTTTATGAGATGAGTTTTCGCGTTATTCTAATTTAGAACACATAATTACCTCTCTGCTGTAAAGCGACAGGCCTTTAAAAGAGGGATTTAGTCGGAAAATGAGAAGTGGTAAGGAGAACGGGTTGTTTTAGTACACCGTACACCTTTCAGATGCATACTCGCCTCATCTTCCAACCTTCAACGGTATTTCTTTTGGGTTGTCCGCTTGGTTTGGTGTTGGTGCAACGAAAACTCACCGGTTGTGGTATGAGTTTTCATCTGATAAGCTTGGCAAAATATTTTTCTACGAGTTCTTATGAACTGATGTGCTTATGAGGTATTTTTTGCCCAACTCTTCAGATATCGAGCCTCTTGAATTCTGCCAAATGTTCAACTTGTACTACTCATTAGATCCATGTGGCGTGCGCTTGGAACCAGTACTGAATCAAAGTCTGTGTCTTCTACCACCTGCAAATGTTCCAAGGTAATGTTTTAAACGAATATTTAAGTGTTTTTATACGCTACACAACGATTTTTGGGAAATTTATCCCCCTTGGTGTCGCGAAATTTACAGATAAATGGCTTTTTAGTTTTATTGCCTTTTAGGTACCAGCGTTACCCGTTAGGCGACGGTCGCTCTCTCTGCTTTGACTCATCTGTCGATCATTCTTCGCTATGGGGTAGGAAACGAATGGATCACGTCTTGTATTGCCCGTCAGGTATGCAGAAAGCCTCATTTCAACGTTGGGATAATAGTTTCGACACGGATTTATTTCCGTGGGTTTGTATTTAATATCACACGGAGTTTGGTTTAAGCTTGACAATATTATGAAGTTTAACCTATTCGCAAATATGTTTAATTTTCTCTAGTGGATACCGTCCGTTGTGTTTCCACTAAATGTGCTTATGCTTCCTGCGTGTTTTCGCTCGATAATTCGTCTTTTCCTTGTATATTTCTACTCATTTTTTTGGATTTTTACGTTCCACATCCTTTTATGTTTTTCATTGTATTGTTTAATGTTTTCGAACTCCACCGTCCTACCACAGTGCTATCGGGCTTTATTAATCGGTTTTCACATTTGTTAAGTACCCATCGGCATTTTTATGTTTTATATTTTCACACATAGTTAAAAACGGTATAGTTGAGAACGTGCATTGTTCCCAAGGAGCGCTCTATGCAGGCAGCAGATTGATAAGCTGTCACCATGTGTGGCTGCGTCGGGATATCTTAGTGTCTTCCATACCTGCTACAGTTGCGGTAGTAGAATACATTCAACTACCCTCCTTACCAACAATGGTTCTTGAGCTATGCGGGCAAACTCGTGCAAAAGTTTTTGTCAATCATAAAGTGTAGAGTAGAGCCGGACTCACCCAAATATGTCGGCCATCCCATCTGTGGCAGGTTGTTGAATAGGTGAAACAAGTTAACGCGTACGGTTCACTATGCCTCCTCGCATAGGTATGCATTGATGTCAGTTATGGATGGTATACAAAAACGACGAAGTATGCTAAAAGTATGTTCTGAAATCTACTATAAAAATTCTGACAACAATGAGGTTCAATGGTAAACGTGACTTTTTTCATTAGAAGAAAAGTTAGAAATGCTCCAAAGCATAGAAAGACACGTAGAATAGCCTAGCGAATGCGTACACCAAAATAACCTACAAAATACATATAAAAGGATAAAGCTGTCGATGCGCCATGTATTCGACTTCATCAAGCATCGTTGGAGGTGATTGAATGCATATCTCGTCTCAATAATGATTCGAGGTGGCGTGGCCTACCGATGTATCGAACCAATGCTGCTATCCTCCCAGGCAAGTCTGGTACCAATTTACCGACCCCGGAGTGATGGAAAGCTTGGTGGCCCATAGGCGCGAGGATCGATTCCACGTCTCCAACCACTGCGCCACACGCACCCTTAAAAAATACAAAAAAAAATACATGTGGACAAAATATTTTCTTGTGGGATAACGACTGAAATACACATACAGGTTAAAAAAATGAGGTTGAAAGAAGGCGCAAGTCACGTGCGATAGTTGGGCATTCGTCTTTCCGGTTCATCTTTGAACCTTTGAAATTTATCCAAAACGCTTCAAGAGTCTTTCGCATCAATGTTTTGATTCCTGCGCTGAGATCCAGACAGTTACTTCATAATCATCACCATTATGCTTTTGTGGATCATGTGTAGAGGAGTACTTTGTCCAATTTCTTCCATTCAAATGGAAATGTCCAACTTTCCCATTCAAATGTTTTTTGTGCGGATGCAAAGTGGTCGACGTTTACCCAATGTATTCTTCATCGTATGCCTTACATGAAATCAAGTATATTGTACCCGAACTCATGCGATCGCGTTTCTCACGTTAGTACAGATCACACAATTTTCTTAGCTACACTCATAGAGGCGGGTGTGGACTAGTTAACGCCCTAGGGTATAGGTGGGGAGGTCGTTAACCGCCATGTAATTCTCAAGACCATTTTTTCTTTGATACCTTTTGTTGACATAACGTATTTCGTTTGATATGAAGGGTACCTTAAAAGTGATCTTACTTAGATTTGAAACGTTATTTTGGGAAAGAACCCTAACTTTTGGTCTGACCCTAGTTGCTTTATACTTCGTAGCCATTAGGAGATACAAAAAGGATAAAAGGATAAAGCTGTTTGTTTTGATAAATTCCTGTGGGATGCGCCTTGTATTCGACTTCATTAAGCATTGTTGGAGGTGATTGAAAGCATATCTGGCCTTTACAGTGACTCGTGGTGGCCTACCGATGTGTGGAGCTAGTGCTGCTATCCTCCCAAACAAGTTTGGTACCAATTTGCCAACCCCGAAGGATGGAGGGCTTGGTGAGTCTGAGGCGCACGGATAGATCCCATGTGTGGCGCCTTCGACCACTGAGCTACATGCGCCCCATACGAAATACATAGAAGAACCGAAATGTAGAGTGAAAATCACAGCAAAATAGCAGGCTCATTTGCTACAGAAGGAACTGGACAGCCGTTTGATATCAGCTGTTGCCGAATGTAGCAAAAAATTGGATCCCACACAAATCCTACCGCGATGTGGATTTCGGCGTTAGACTCTTAGTGTTGAACGAATTGTTTTCTGCGTGTTTCTGAATTCTTAAGTAAAGGTCTAAAGCTGGTTAGTGTTTATTTCTACTTTATATGTAAGACGTCACATCCTTTTATAGTTGTGGTTATATAGCATGCCGTATTTACCGAGTATAGTTTTAGAAGTGTAGCAAATTGAGTTCTTGCAAAGATTCTGTTGCCTTGTCAGCCTTCAATGAAAATTTAAGACGGCGCACGTATGTTTGACTTCTCAGTAGTACTTCAGATTTCACTAAATTCATCTAGTAGTTTTGGGCAATTAGAAGTGTGGTTTTCAAAAATGGTTGTGGTGAAGTGGAAGATCTGTAGGAAGTGCTATAGAGAACTTGGATAAAAGCGCCGAGAATTGCAAATAGCTTATGGAGTAAATCATTCGCTATGACAGTCAATCGCGGTTGCCGACTGCATTCAGTTACTCATAATTACAGAAGACACTTTTTGTAAACTGGAATGTACAAAATGATCTTTTCGACCGACATGTGGTACAATATTTGTAGTAGATAAACTACCGATTAAGTACAGATATGCGGCCGATACTACAGCCGAAAATATGTATTGAGACTAACGCACTCTACTCGTTGTGCCTCTGTGTGCGCATTAAAAAGAAGCTTTTCGCTATTGTATTAACTAATTTTGGTTTCTTCTTGCCATTCTCTACATCATTAAGGCGGATGCATGAATTAGGTGCTTTTAGCAATGATGGCTCTCCCCTCTTCGGCTCTGCCAAACATTTTGCACGCTTCCTATTGGGAATCATTTGACACGACTGCCTTCCTCTTACGCGAATTCGTCCGAAGCGAGGAAACAGTGCCAGCAACGCTGTCATCAAGTCTCACCCATTTGCCACTAAAGATGAACTTGCCACCGTTAAAGTGGAAGAGAAGAAGGACACGATTTAAGGTATGTGGAGTAGGTGTGTGATAGAATGATATTTTGGTCAAATATATGGCATATTTCATCTGTGTACCGTACGTTTTTAGATCAAGGAGATGTATTACTAAATAAGTGGTTTTCATAACGCTATATTCCAATGTTGTTCTCGATGTTGACCAAATATCAGTGTTCGCTTCTTTAGTGGTCTTTTAGACTTTTGCTCTTGCGCTACCGGAAAGGAGATTTTTCCGGTTTTCTGGAACTTTTACCATTTCAAGTGAAGATTGAGTCGCTTTTCTGAAGAAACTAGTTTCAATCTTTTTTATATCAGCGTGACTGGGGCGAAGTTCTAACCCGAAAAAGGTGAAGTGTATTCATTCCTACAACAGTCCCGTAGTCCGTAAGGGAGTTATTGGACAATAATTGTTGCTTTACCGCTAAAGAAGTAAAATGGGGCTATATTTCGTTTTTCTGTAATCGACTTTTGTTGTTCTTATTGTTCGTAGTGTTACTCATCAATCCATTTATGATAACAACTAAATTTGTGTGGCGGGAGCACGCATATGACAACGCTTCGTTACGGACTTGCTGGTTTTTCGACAATCCGCTATAATTTTTCGTTAAGTGGACAGCCTAAGCGGTTTGTGACAAAACAAAGTTATAGAAGAGGCTTTTTCTCTTGCTTTAGGGGTATGAATGGTTCAAAGCTACCGTTTACTGCATTTTGCCGTGGCGGAGCTTACAAGTGAATACATTGCTCTCGGCATTTATAAGTATTTTGCAGCTTGCATTGAGTTTTTTTTTCTATATTTTACTATTCGCACATTCCATAGGATAACTGTGGTTGATCAAAGTGAAACTGAAATGACATTTAGTTGCCAATCACATTAGTCAATCAACGCGTTCGGTAAGATTATTGGAAATCGTTGACTTTGAAAAAGAGTTTTTCGCAAGCCACTCACATCGCAACGTCTACGTTACATAAACTACTAATTGGTTGCAAAATTGCTGTAGAAGACCTCCACGCTTCAAAATAAACTGCAGGAAATAAGATGAGTGATATATGACTCACCTTGGCCTGTCTGACAGTGATTTGTGAGTCATATATGACGGATAAAATCGCAAATATATCGACTTAATAATTTAGTGTTTTTTCTTGAGCAAACCTGAGTGGTTGTTATCGAGATTTATTCAGTACTAGGTGACGCCTCGACAGTTTCATCATCTACAGAGTCTGGAAAGGTCAAATTGAGACGTAATCTACTCGGTTTTCATAACCGAACCAGAAAAATCTCAATGCATAAATTTCATTCGAATAGTAATGCAGTGGTATCTGCATAGTTGTTGTTTGGCGTTACTATGCTTCTTTTATAGTTTTTACGAATTTACTCTTTATGTGAGCGCTTTTCAAAACTCTTAAAAGCTTTAAAGTGGAAATGGTGTGCTGAAATTGTATATTTTTGAAGGGGTAGGATTTTCTATATGTCTGGTAAGGTCTCAACTGTTCAAATGCTTTGTTGTGAAATACTAGTTGTCAAAGTCGAATTTTTTAAGTCAATCTGTTTCTAGGTATCAAATTTATCTCCTAACCACCGTGCCAACGACGTTTTAGTGATTGCCGGTAGTGAAGTCACCGTGGCGGCAAAATTCTGCTACGGGCCAATGGACTTAGCTGCTCTGACCAGGGAGCAGGTCTCCGTTTTCGTATGTCCGCAAGGGTGAGAACGATCGTAGAAATGTTAAGATACCAAAATTCCTACCAATGGATAGCTCAAGAGTCATATTACAGCGGAGACTGGTATGAAGTGGGCGTTTATGATACTGACTCTCATGGACGACTGGTGGTCTCATTGGGAAACTCATTACCATGTGGTATTCATTCTATCAAGGTTAGTAATGAGACATTTAACATGTAATATGGTGTCGTTTTGAAGAAAATGTAAAGCAAAAGCGATATTGTAAATGTGCTTAGGATAGTGGGATATACAAGTAGGATATACTTGTTCACTTGAGAATCAAATCATTCGTAGTGAGAGTTTTTCAAAAAACGCTCCCATTACTACTTAGCCTATTCGTATATAATGCTGAGATAGTTGCAAAACTCCGGACTGCAGGTGTATGCGGTGGGGAACGAACGCGCGTTATTGTCCTTACCGGGGAGTTGCGCACTTCACCACCACACCATTCGGGTCCTTCGTTTTGCCTGTCACTTAGCCTATTATTCAGTTACTCGAATCATGCAACTTTGTGTAGGATATTTTCGTTACTTTGTCGAGATTTAATAAATTTCATGGTGGCGTTACTTTGTTCTTTATAGGCGTTTTATTTTCCTTGGCACGTTCTCACCAGCATTATATTCGAATTTTTATAAATGTCATAAATTTCTTGGACTTAAGGGCGCGTGTGGCGCAGTGCTTGGAGACGCCACTGCAACACACACGGGATCGATTCCCGCGTCCCAGGCCCACCAAACCCTCCATCGCTCCGGTGTCGGCAAATTTGTACCAGAGTAGTCTGGGAGGATCGCAGCACTGGCTAGATACATCGGTAGGCCATCGCGAGTCATTGTAAAGGGCAGATATGCATTCAATCGCCTCCAACGATACTTAACGAAGTCGTATGCATGGCGCATTCCTCAGGGATTGATCAACACTGAGTGCTTTAGAGCTTTATCATTCATAAATTACCTGTTCATTGGTTTTACATCATTGGTGTGATTGGCCACTGTGAGCGTATTATATTAAGGATCAACTGAGTTTGTTTTCCAGATGGTCGTACACGGTGACCGATCATATTTGGATTCATTGGTAGCTATCGTTCCGTCGACGACGCACTGTGTAGTTTTTTCCGTCGACGGCTCTTTGACGGCGTCAGTTTCCGTCACTGGAAGAGATCCACGAGTTCGACCCAGCGCTGTTGACGTTGTGCGATATTGGTATGATCAGGTACTATCTGTTTACATTTTTATTCAAATTCGTTTTCATCTGTAGTTCCTGCGATTGAAAAATGGTAAGAGAACAGCTCGTATATGACATAGTTTTCTAATTTGATTTCGACGTAACACACATTCTGTTTAACACATCGTTTTTACTGTCTTCAAATAACCTGGTCCAGTTTAACAAATAGCGCCCGAAACTATAATTTTCAAACCGACCGCGATAGTACAATAATCAGCTTGTGTTTGAATTGTTGGGCTTACACGAGGTTGACAGTTAGATTTATTCCGCTAACGTCTCAACGTCCTCGTCTTCATCAGAGCCGATGATCCGAGTCGATCGTCCAAAGTTGTCCGTCTTCTCGATGTGGCCTCTTCACAGTTGTACCGAGACGGATCTTCTTCAATGGAACACCGCGCCAATGCGGCAACCGCACCCAACAGCGCTCTTACAGGGTGCTTATTGTTAATATGACTATCCGTTGACAATAATTAGTACTTTAACGGATAATCTATCCAGCAGCAGTCGGTGTTACGTCAGCTAGCACAGAACCCGAAACTGAACTCTGGACAGTTGACATCTACATCAATTTATGTGAAAAAGTGTTGCTGTATAGCCTTAATCGTATCTATTGTTTTTATGCTTTATTCTTCAAATTTTAGATATGATTACAGCTAAAGTTTATAAAAACTCGAAGGAGAAATTCAAAACTCTAAAATTTTCAACGAAATGTAGCCACAGGCATGGGGATACATTGGAGAACATCATCGTGTCTTGCCGCACGAAATCTAGCTTGTGAAATTGCTTTCGTGCTCAAAATACAATCTTTGATGCAAGAAGTGGAAGAAATATGTGTCACGGGCTAACGAAAGTGGAATTTCCAACTTGGTAGAATAAGACAACTTGTGTCTTGTATGCATATTTCTGCAGGTCTTACCGATTTTTATGAGGATTGGCTAGGTTTAATATGAGCTGAGACATCTTGGCTAAAAGTTAAAAGCGGTCATCATTTTCGTACCGAATGCGCAGTACTCAATGCATGTCGGACATCATGTGTTAAACTATTTGCGTGAGTGTTCTTTTTTGGTGAGCTTACACGCGGTTGATAATGATGTTTATTTTCGGCTAACGTTTCGACGTCTTCGTCTTCCTCAGAGCCGATGATCCGAGTCGATGGTCCTCGCTTCTTATTCGCCTCGACGTGGCAGCTTCGCCTTCGTGTCGAGTTAGGTCTTCTTCAGTGGTCCATCTTCTCGAATGAGGCATCCTCACTCAGTGATGTCCTTTTATACACGATGCTGATGGTCGATATAATGATAATGTCCGGTGATAACAACTTGTTTTTCTTCCGGACATACATCGTTGCGCACATTGTGCAGAAGTCGGTGTTGTTATCAGCTAGCACAACGCGTAGTAATATTTCGAAACCGACTTTCCTTGAACTTCGGTATCACTAATCAATATGTGTTCTTTTTTTGATGAGCTTACACGAGGTTGATAATGATGTTTATTTTCGGCTAACGTTTCGACGTCTTCGTCTTCCTCAGAGCCAACTAAATTCTTCAGACGAATTAATTAAATTTAATTTATATCGAAATATTTGCGTGAGTGTTTGACGTCTTATTTGATGTCTATTTTGTGTTTCCTTTGAATTTTACAAAATTCTTTTGAATTCGAATTACAAGAAGTCATATCAAATTATCGGATTGTTATGGTTTTAGGTTTGAATAGAATCATTGTTTTAACACTGATTCTTCATTTTGTTCCAGGGTTATGTGATCCTTTACCTCACCGCTCGACCTGATATGCAACAACGTGTGTTCTCAGCTTGGCTGGCACAACATTGTTTTCCGCACGGACTTCTGCTCTTCAATCCATCATTTTCAACGGATCCACTCAAGCAAAAGTCACTTCATTTGAAACATATAATCGACATGGGAATTCGGATACAAGCCGCATACGGCAGCAGCAAGGTACTGCGACTTAATGAATTTGAGTTAACCTTTATGGGTTGGGTTCAAATGGAATCGAAGCATATTTTACAGATGATAGCCTACGTTTTGTTTTACTTACTTGTTATCCGAAAACCTTTCCTTACAAACTAGTACAGATTAACAGGCGATCTCTTTTTTAACTTCTAAGGGATCTTTGAAAGTGCATTGTAGCAGCTTACGGGGATTGCTATCTTATAGTTTCTGGAAAACTTGGTATGTGGTATGTTTTATAAGTTCAGTCTATTTTCTCTTTCATGTTTTTGGAAACTCGACAAGACAAAAGGGATATGATATGAAGAAAGAAGGAGTATAATAAGCGAAAACATCTGACATGAAATCAGATAGGAAATCCTATGTAGAAGTGTTGAATCAAAGTCCTTACGCTTGTGATCGTTATATTCGTGGTTTTTTTTCGATAACCTTACATGAAAATGCCAAATTGTGGTTGTTATTTCTACGGTATCGTCATCTCCAGAGTCAAGTGACTACCCCACAGATGAGGTTTCCGGTGATGTGGTGGACTAAAGCGCCGTATTGCGTCGAATATTTTCGTTATCACTTCTTTGACTAGGTCAGGATATTTCTACTTGCCAATCTTCGTCAGACAACGATTCATTACTTTTAAAAGCTCCAAAGTTTGAAAATACTCTTTTTATTGAAGTAGATTCCCATTCATGGGACGTGCCACTCATATCTTCATTAAAAACCCTTGTTTATGAAATAATGGAGTCGTTCTTCACATTACAAAGCGGTTTTGGACGAACAGCAAGAAATCCAATCATAGTTAGTGTGCTTTCGCCTAATTCGTTAACTCAAAGCACACTTTCATCAGTGTGCCGTAATTAAAACGCAACTTAACATGTAATGAACGAGGGAATAGTTGTGATATTCGGATGTATTAAATAAAGGAATAACTGCTGTACTTCTATGTAGTTGTGGAATTTTAAGGACGTGGCAGTCTATAGTAGTGCCGGTATGGAGGTGAACAGGATCGTGTCCGTTGCTGGCAGTCGACGTCGATCATGTGTTGTCATCGGTCAGTGGCTCATATTCCTTTCATCGCATACTTTTTTCGGTTCTTAACGTATTCCTGTAGATGTGAAATGGGCTATGTAGCCTTAGTTGGCTGTCCTGGCGTTCGTTTTCTATATGTTCTTTCTTATTCATTGTGAAGCGAAGCGGTTTGAAACTTTGGGCACGGCTGCTAAGTGAAGCCGAAAGAAGATGAACAAAGAAATTTTCAGTGTCTAACGAAATTCTTTTTACACTAGATTACTGTTACTTTTTCGTCTTTAATAAGTTTTTAGAATAAAATTGATACTGGACACTTCTTCATTGTTTTTAAAAATAGCTGTGAATTCCAACCTTTCGAGAAATTGACGACATTACTACACTCTTCACAACTTTTCCGCCTGAAGCGGACACTTGTTTTTTCGTTACTCCATCTCTTGGTAATGCCTTCATCCGCCATTCTCCTTTTTTTTGAAAATGGGACCGAGGATTCCCTTAAAGATGAATGCGGTCATCGTTTTCGCATCGAATGCATTGTATTCGTTTCATATCAAGCGGTATGTGTTAATGGCGCTTTGCGCTTTGCAGGACAAAATATACCCGTTCTGATTTGATATTGCTGTATATTATATGAATGGTGTTGCATAATGATAGGTTTCTTCAGATAATTACTCCAGTCATCTGGAAGAGCTTACCAACGGCACCTCTAAACTTTCACAACCTGTTGAGCTTTCGGAGCAAATCAATACTTTAGGGTTTCCAAAGTCACATCGGTAACTGTTTGTTAATTTACGAATTTTAATAAAGTAGTAAAGGTCACTAGTTGCGTTTTCATAAGGAACGCTAATGTGCTTATATGCTGTCCCTTGACATAGCTTTCTTCCTTAATGGGCTTCCTCATAGAAGTATGGAATTACTTCCTAGTATGGGTGACCCTTAAGGCGGATTAATTAAACAGCTCTACATCGGATTTCGTCAAACAGGATCTTCTCTTGTGTGAGACAGTAGACCACTGGGGAAGTTTCTTACACTAAAGGAAAAACTACGTCACGTATGTTTTGTATCATTAATTAGTGCACACAATTTCTGTACTCGACTCATCATCTCCGTATTGTTTTGGATTTGCTTTAACATATGAGGACGCCTGAAATCAACAAATCTATGTGAGGGGTCCTGCAAAACACGTGGTCGTTTGTTTGATCCTACGCCCCGGGCTTGCCAATCCTTACTTCCCTCCAGGGTCGGCAAATTGAGACCAGACTTGTTGGGTAGGGTAGCAACACTGACTTGATACGTCGGTTGGCCATCAAAGGTCATTGTGTAGGGCAAAACATGCATTCACTCACTTCCAACGGTGCAGCCAATAGAGTAGAATGCATGCGAACCGCAAAGAGATTGATCAACACGCTATATCCTTTACTACGTCATTATCTTTGCATTTTCGCACGAATTACAGATGTGTTCAACGTACAGCATCACTCACACCACGAGGTGGAAAATTCGAGAATGAACGTCGGTGACCTTACGAAAGGCGTAGACACCTACTTGCCGTATTTACAATCGCTTCAGTGTAGTTATTCACAGCTCATTATCATATTTTGATTCTAATTAATATTAAGGAGAACGTGGGCCCACTCATAACAACTATTGGAAAATTCTCAATAGTGGGCCGTTTTTGAGGGATTAGCTCCAAAATAACGCCACTTTGGAGATAGCAAGATTTTAAGAATTTTCCAGCAACGGATGTATGTAGAAGTTTCATACTTCCCCATACTACTTTTTTTTCTTAAAACACCAACAGTACACAAAGTGTAATTATTGCCAACGGTGTAGGATTTATTTTTTTCTAAGCCTGAGTCCCAGTTTTTGAGAACTGGAAGAATGAAAAACGCATAAAATGATTAGATGTGACCGAGCTGTAATCGCCGTATGGTCTCCTTATCCATGTTTTCTTCATCGGTCTTGTCATCACCCCCAAGACATCCTAAGCCCTAGGAAATAGTCATGTTTTTATTCCTGAACGTGTATGTATGTCCAGAGAAAACTTTTTTACACATATTTAATAACGCTGGCGACAATTTTGTCGCAACTTTCAGTAAGCTATTCAACGAACACAATGAAAGTGGAGGCGGCCTTTGTTCATATTCTTGCATTTGACAGTAACAGTTAAAATACAGGATGTGGTCGGTTGCAAATTCGTGCACGGATTTGCTCCTGATCTGCATATTTAGCCGTGAGTTTTATTTTGAATATGGTAGGAAACACCTGGGAAACGATGATACACTGAAAGTTCGCCACCCTCCCGAAGTCGATCTGGACGCTGACCTTAAGCATTCGTCTCTCCCGCTAGTGGTTTGTAAGAGTCCGAACTATTGGGTGTAAAGCACCGACCGTATGTTACTAAGCAGATTACATTCTGATGTTTGACTTTAAAGACCGAAGCGATGAGCTTTGTAATAATGTATCATGCATATTGCTGTTTTGCCTAAATATCTCTCGTGATCGTGAAACTTCTGACTAGTATTCAAATTGATTAATATTTACACCAGTTCTGTAGGACTGTTCTAGAGTGTTATATTATCGAAATCAAAATCCATTCACACTTATCATTGGCACTTATAAGAATCTCTAAATAACACATTATGTTAAGACCTCTTTCCACTACAAGTGTACGACATTCCACTATTTCATGTTTCGCTAGAATTCCATTTGTTTTCAAGCGCCAAATTTTGTGAAATAAGCACTCCTTCATCCTCCTGATCTGCATCAATGGAAATCTGTTGTGTAGATTGTATTCTCGATTCAAAACGATGTAAATTCTTGACCCTGCATAGTAGGTCTTTGAATAGACGTATTTCTTGAGCTGTCTTTGTTTTGCTCAAGTGCGATTAAGAACCTTTATTGTAGTTGTCTATATATGAATGATCTCATGCTACTTAATAGGGTCACTACAATAGGACTCAGTTAGATCTTTCATTATTGAACGTCTTCGACAACTTGTACAAAAATTGTTGTGTGATAAAAATGATGTTTATGACCATGTACTCCACATGTGAGGTTTTGTTGACTACCAATCGAGCATCAATTTTATGTGCATGGAAAATAGACTTCTCTTCAATCTGCAATGAAGCTCGGCTTGAAAATTTGTGCCCTGTAGTTTCGTTTGTAATACTGACGAACAATATCATTGGTGGCCTAGAAATTAATGTTACCTCTACACAAGACGGCATATGTCGATGTCTGTAGATGTTATCACTCACGAAATAGAACTTTCGTTATTGCTATGATTCTTTGTTGGTCTTCTCTATATGGAGAGTCTTTGAGTCGTCCTAATAAAAGCTCTTTAGCTGTTTATGAGGTTTGAGTTAGGCTACTATGAATGGTATGAAGTCTATACGCTAGACGAGTAGTACACGTCATGTTGATAGATATGAGTAAAAATTATAGTAAAACGTTCATTCCAAGTGCAAATATCAAACGATATAGTACTGGGATCAATGTTAGCGACGACGTCGAAATGGATCACGACTTCAACCTTCGCACGAACGCATCCAGTAATTCTGTGCTTCTGAATTTGGAAATTAATGTTAAGGATGTAGTATAAACGAGTATACTCGGAAGTATGTGTTTGTGGACGATTAAATACCCAGTTCTTCGACCATGAAATCTTTATGTTGTTGAGTAACTTCATGACGCTCGCTACTCATATCCAATCAACAATGCCCTCCTTGTTCTACACGTCTCGATCCGTTTTGGGAAAAAGCCTGTCTTTTTTTCTAACATCTAATAAATTCTCATCATCATGTGTCGTCATACATCACCTCCTGGAATATTTAAGAGTGGAAAACGTGAGTATCCGACAACATAAGGATGGACGCTTGACAACATTAAAATGGAGCTTCTGGAAGGAAAATATGTGACATTAGGGTGGATGCCGTGGTGAATGACACTCTGAAATCAACGACAATCCACGTCTTTCTCTTCATCATCAAAATGCATTGAGTGTTTCGACCACCTTTTGTACGGTACAAACCTGTTAGATATCCGGATATTTGGAATACTCGACTAATTCATAGCTAAAGTGAAAATTAAAAACAATA